TGTCACAGACTTACCCGGCGTGTCCCCGCGCTCCAGCGAAGGGTCGTCTCGTGCGTGACGTCACGGCGGCTCCTCCCACGGGGCGCGGCTACCAGGGTAAAGGGTCAGCTGGTTCGTCACTCGGCGTTCTCTCGTTGTGGAGAGTCGGGTGACGAACAGAGAACCCACAGGCTGTCCTTGGATACTGAAAGCAGATCGCTGCCCAGAACCAATAGCTGACGAATCGGGACTGCTACCCCGCTGTGAGCCCAGAACTATTCAGAGCACACAACCGCAAGTATTCTGGAAGTCATTGTAAATCTTGCCTAACCTGCTACATGTGTTAGTGCTTGCTTGCATGCTGCTTATGTGTTGCTGTCTCACACGCACACCCACTGAGCATCCCCAGCTGATCCGGATTGCCTCTCCTTCAGTGAACTATACCTGCTAAGAGACGTAGGACTGAGACTTTCTCTAAAACTGCATAAGGGTGCATTAAGTCTGATATTGGAGATTATTTGAGCTATCCATATATTTCCTACATGCTTGCTACCTGCTGATAACGCTGCATAGGGGTGCAATAAGTCTGATATTGGAGATTATTTTAGCTATCCATATATATGCTACATGCTTTCTACCTGCAGATAAAACTGCCTACATATCCAATGTATGCATCTGTTTTGTTCACTAGAGGTTAACCCTTAGCTACTCATACTGCTTGCCTCCCCATTTTGATACTCCGCACGCTGGTACCGCGCATGTACAGCTTGCCACATATGTGTGGGGTAAGGGGTACTACCCTTATATCATCTTAGCTTAATTCTCAACCCAGTAACAGGAAGTATATGATGAGTGCGGTCTCCCTCTAGCAGTTAATGTAATTGGGAGCCGCTCACTGACCTTCCTTATCCAACAAACCCCCATCAGTTCCGCAGCTGTGATCCAGTTAGACACTTACCACTGGTCCAGCCTTGACACCTGCCAGCTATTGTACTCAGACATCTGCGGCTGTCTAACAGGGCCGGTGACGGGGCCGCCCACAGCTCAGATTTTGTCCAGTTCTTGGTGAATCGGATCCATTGGAGCCACGTACGGCAGACATTACACCACTGAACAAAGTGCTTCCAATGGTATCATTAACAGACTTAAAGGGGACAAACAAGAGAAGTTCATAGTCCATGTATATACTGTATATACTTTGTTTCCTCCTCCCAGTTTCTGTCTTCTTAGAAAGGGAGGTGAGGCCTACAACCACGTCCCCGTACAAGGCCCAAGGACCTGCGTGTCCAGTCTGTGTGTCGGCTGGAATTCCCCCGGAGCTGCTCGATGCTTTCACTTTCCTTTTCATCAACACTATGTAACTAGAGCTCTAGCAGGTCACATTGGTGCTATGGGGGCCCCTGGAACCCGGGGACCTAGTTGTGACAGAAGTCCCACTTGGAAACTATGCTTTAGTAATGTAAATGTATATAGAGTTCGGGTGAATCTTCTACAATGCTGTTAAAAGTTAAGCTGGCCAGAGAACAATTCTGGCTGAACGAGAAGTCACTTGAATCCCCCATCCATAGCTTGACAAACCTCCTCTGCCGCCTCTGCGGTATTCGGACACTTGATGTCCACGGCTGTCAGAATACTTGAACTGTGACTGTGTCTGATTGGCTGCAGTCACCGTACAGCCGACTCTTTTTTTTTTTCTCCGCCGGCTTCTTTGATTTTTCAGTTGAAGTTTGTTGATCCTGGCAGAGCTGCTTTATTCCATGGGCAACGTGAGCATTTACCCAGAGCTCACTGTCACATCTTGTGCCAGTGTGTGGCCCTTAAGGTGGCAACTTCCAGAGGCTTTAATTGGTCCCGCATGCCAGTGTTTGTAAATGACACTGAGCAATCATTTATTTTATATGACACTAAAAGTTACTATTTCAGCGCCTGTTTACAGCCTTTTCATTGGCCTGCGCATCTCCCCCTACTGAGACCCTCCACACCCCTCCTGAGACCCTCCACACCCCTCCTGAGACCCTCCACACCCCTCCTGAGACCCTCCACACCCCTCCCGAGACCCTCCGCATCCCTCCCGAGGCCCTCCGCATCCCTCCCGAGACCCTCCCGAGACCCTCCGCATCCCTCCCGAGACCCTCCGCATCCCTCCCGAGACCCTCCACATCCCTCCTGAGACCCTCCCCCATAGACAGAGCCAGCACCTTGGAGCAGAGTGGCAGCACAGGGCATACAAGACAAGAGAAGTGGTACTGTGCAGAGTCCATACATACAGAAGAAGGACAGATACTGAGAATGACACCCAGCATACAGGACAAGAGAAGTGGTACCGTGCAGAGTCCATGCATACAGAATAAGAATAGATACTGAGAATGACACCCGGCATACAGGACAAGAGAAGTGATACTGTGCAGAGTCCATGCATACAGAATAAGAATAGATACTGAGAATGACACCCGGCATACAGGACAAGAGAAGTGATACTGTGCAGAGTCACTTTTAAATGAGAACACAGCTTCAGTGCAGAGCGTTATATGGATAGAAGTGTCATGTGACTTGTTGAAATGTGAAAGTGAAAGTGAAGCTGTGAGAATGCATTTGCCATTTTCTGTGTGTGTGAAGTGTGTGCCGTGTGTGTCGGTGTACGGTGTGTGTTGTGTGTGTAGGTGTGCAGTGCGTGTACTTTGTGTAAGTCTGGATCACACTGGTGTGCTGTGCGGAGGGTCACACAATGGATGTGCGGTGTGCTGATACTTTGTAAACTTGTTACATTGTCTCGGTTGTTGGGTGGTTGTGTCTTCTTTACACTGTGACCGGTTACACCGGCTGTCTGAGTTTTATTACGCAGTGTGACTTCATCTCCTTGCTGTATATCTGTGAGCGGCGCCGGGTGAGCTCGGTGGACTGTTGTGGTTGTCCCTGTTGGATCGAACCCGGACATGAAGACAATTGGACTCCTTGGCCTGACGCTGAGCAGTAAGAGACGATATGGGGTGGGGGGATTTTGGATGGAGGGGGGAGGGGATGTTGGCAGAACCAGGAAGTAAAAATAAAATACGTATCTCATATAGACGAGATCGGGTTATTAAATTGTATGCAAGGACAAAACGTTTCGTCTAGTTTTGGATAGAGTGAGGAAGTGTAAAGCTCACCACATACCTTACAATCTGATTGTACAATCTCCTTTAGATCTATGTCATGCAAGGGTCTGATCTGATACATTATTATTATTAGATAGGATTTATATTGCGCCAACAGTTTGCGCAGCGCTTTACAATGTAAGGAAGACATTACAGTCACAATTCAAGACAAGATGGTAATGTGGGCCCTGCCCCTAAGGGCTTACAATCTAAAAGAGAGGGGCCAGTGATACATGAGGAGGTAGCTGTGTGGGGATGAATTATTTGAGAACATGATAGATTCAGTAGATCCTCATGTTACATAGTTTTGGTAAATCTAATGCTGATTGTACAAAAAATATAGTCAGATTGGAACGTGTATGGTGATCCTTAGACACCCTGTCTGGTTTTGATTGGTGTGTTTGTCCATGTTGGGGGAGATTCGCTCTCTCTTCGTCCTCTCTGAGGCCGTTGTCTCAGGTAGAGGAAGTTTAGGACAAATCCAAAATTTTTGAGTTGTTATGGGAACAGGGGTGGGGGTCTCCCAATGGAATCTCTGTTCTGGTGACAACTGTCTATAATATATATATATATAATGTCAGTGACTCCAAAACCATTGAAGCCAGGAAACTGTTATTCTTAGAGGTTGATTGGCAATGGCTCCCTTGTTTACGGGGACTGCACTAGGGCTGCAGCTAACGATTATTTTAATAATTGATTAGTTACCCAAATTTTTTTTCAACTAATCGATTGGTTGTATAAAAAAAATTATCTCTCTCTCTCTCTCCCTCTCTCTCTCTCTCTCTCTCTCTCCCCCTCTCTCTCTGTCTCCCTCTCTCTCTCTCTCTCTCTGTCTCCCTCTCTCTCTCTCCCCCTCTCTCTCCTTCCCCAACCAACTAATCGATGACGAGAATTGCCTTGTCTATTCGTTAGGACTGTGTTGGGCAGTAATGCCCAATGCATATTTTGTGAATGGGCCCTAAAAGCATGCTTCATACCTAGAAGTGCCAGATATTTGGGTGGGGGGCAAAAGCAGTAGGTGGGCAGTAAGGGAGGTGTTAGAAAAATATAGGAGCCAGTAGCCAAGGGCAGCTAAGGCCAGACACTGGAGTAATAACAAACACTTTCAGTTTTAGGTCCCCTGATCCAGTGCGCGGCGGTACCCCATGTTCAGCGTCCTGTAGACGTTCTCCTCCCCTGCGAATATGTCATGCTGGAGCAGGGAGCAGCCGGACTTTCATTTACACGACAAAAGGTGACGCTTGTCCTTCGCAACCTCATGGTGACACAAGAACAGCAGTCAGAGCCTCTGCCGGATTATCAGACTCCAGAAGACACTGAGGTGCCTATTTTTGAGGCCACAGGTCAGTAATTAACATTTAGGTTTTAAGTTTGGTTCACATGCCAAAAGTTAATTATTAGTTTAAAAGTTTTTTTTAACTAATAATTATTAAAATTTAGGGGGGAAGGGGGTTTAGCCCTCATTCACCTCTGTAGCTACAGGCATTGTGGAGAAATTCATCTTCAAAAATCACAACAGAGGTCCTGAAATCGCAGCTCTTTTTCCAAATACTTTCTACGGAGAGCTGAATCTTGGCAGCCTGCCAGCCGCCCTCTAATGTAAACACGCAGTAGGTGTTTCTACATTTTTAGAAACTTTCTAAGGGTCGGTGCACACCTAGGCGATTTATCGCGCGGTTTGAGTTGCGCAATATCGCGCAAAACACAGATTCGCATTGAAGTCAACGGAGGCTGATCACACCTTTGCGGTGTGAGGACAACATCTCTATGCATTAAAAACCGTGCAACAACCGTGCGGTTTACAATGAATAATACAAACAGCTAGTGCTGTAGGGTGTATTCATAAACAATTTGCAAGGCCATTCGCCCTGTAAGACTCCATAAACCTTCGTTCTGTGCGCATAAAGCCCAAAGCAAACATTCTTAGTGCATTTTCTTTCTAATTCGAAAGTGCTATATGCAAAATACCCAATTTTGGCCACCAGATGGAGCTAAGGAGCACAGTAAAGTATTTATTTCCTATTCTCCGGGGCTCCATCTAGTGGCCATTATGTGGTATTACATGATGACATTCAAAATGACAGTGGACCTACTAAGACCATTTGTTTAGTGCATCCATTTGCGCAGAACGAACAATTACAGAGACTTGCAGGGCAATGGCTCTGCATATTGCTTATAAATAGATCTCTAATTGTACACATCTACCAGAATCCGGGCACCTTGATTCTTATTTTGTACCCGTCATCCAGCAATCCCCTATCCGGCCAAAGCTTTGCAGTTTTGTGCCCTCCATCTTAATACAAGTTGTATATTTTTCCTCTCGCCCCATCAGCCAATTTGCCCCTTCTGCCATTTGTGGAGCGTCTGCTTCATGTAGAATGTGAGGGAGAAGAGATTGTATGTGAGATCACCCCACTGTACTCCAAGTTCTACATCGCCCACATCCGTCTGCCGGAGATGAACATCGCCCTGGTGGCCAAGGCAGGATCGGCTGTTGATCCAGACCAGCCCCTGAGCGAAAAAAGCATTATACCATTAACAGGTGAGTGTCATGTCACGTGACCAGATCCCACGCCATACACGTTTGTAGAGGGGATCAAGCTGCTCGTCTCATGTGACAGGATGATGTCAGGTTTTTAGCTCACCATGGTAGATGCTACATTTGTTGCCCTGTCTGCGGGTCCAATCATGATACTGGGTCATGTTTTCCAGATTACTTCTCAGAACAACAGCTGTGTATATTTTGCTTTCCCTGGTCCCCATTCTCCCCCTCTCATCAACATTCTTGCAGCCGAAAGCTTGGCTGTTTGGCAAAAAATGATCAATTTGATGATGCCACAGGTGACAACATAGTGTAGCAGGGGTGTGTAAATAATAAAACTGGCTGAGCAGATTTACAAAAATCGCTGGCAGGTAAAACGGTTCATATATACAGTATTAGGGATGTCCTGATGCCACTTTTTTAAGACTAAGTACAAGTACTGTCCCTCAGGTACTTATCAATTACCGATACTTTTTCTTAAAGGGACATGTGAGAGACAAGAAGACTAATGATTATAGGAAAATTTCTTACCAGAGTTAAATAAAGATGTCACCAAAAATGAATACGTGTCCCCAGAGCAGAACACGTGTCCCCAGAGCAGAACACGTATTCCCCAGAGCAGAATACGTGTCCCCAGAGCAGAATACGTGTCCCCAGAGCAGGATACGTGTCCCCAGAGCAGGATACGTGTCCCCAGAGCAGGATACGTGTCCCCAGAGCAGAATTAGTGTCCCCAGAGAAGGATACGTGTCCCCAGAGCAGAACACGTGTCCCCAGAGCAGAAAAAATGTCCCCAGAACATTATTCATCTCACAAAGCTGCATGCCGGTCTCACCCGGTGACATGTGGCTCTCTGCAGGGCTCTGCGGGCAGTTCCTATGCTGTGGAGAGTACCGATGTCCGGGGCTGTACTGTGCTGTGTGGGTCTGTCCATGGCTGTGCCAGGAAGGAGGAGGAGGAGATATAGAACCAGACAGACACTGCCATGGACAGCTACTTGCAGGTCCCCTGCAGGCTGCCGAGGTCCTCACGGGAACTGGGACTGCAGCTGCCGTTTTAAAATTTAAGAATCGGGGCATTTTCACGAGTACAAGTACTCGTGAAAATGCCTGGTATCGGCCCGATACCAATACTAGTATCGGTATTGGAACATCCATAGTTTAAATACAGTATATGTATTTAAAAATGTGTATATAGCTGACTGAATGGTGTTTCACTTTGGGGGCAGAGAGGTGACCAAGCTATATTCCTGAGAAAAAGTCAGGTCACCAAGTTGGCTAACAAATTACCACACAAGTGTCCCTGCCTGTCCCATAGTTCCCTAGTCCCTCTTTCCTCTTCATCTCCTCCATCTTCTACCACCAGTTCTTTACGTATGTTGTGATGTTTCTCTTCAGCGGATCTTCTGGTGTCATCCAGTCCACCTTCACAAAGGGCCTCCGTCTCCAAGGAAGCCAAGTTTACCTGTGAAGTGTGGGGTGACATTAAAGGCGTGGACATAGAATGGCATCTGCAGAGGGATGGCAAAGGGAAAAAGATAGACCCGGAAGAAGACTCCCATTTCTCTGTCGAAAAGCAGGCACAGGAAAGGAAGGAAGATTCATCACTGACCATAAATCAGCTAACTGTGAATTATGAGGGCACTTATATATGTGCCGTGAGCCTGGGACCACACCGACTACAGCAAATCCTCCAGATGAAGATCAAAGGTAAAACATAGAGGCTAAGGTGTGCATGTAAGGGGTCCAGAAAGGGTACAACTGTCCCCCGGGTCCATAAAGCAAGATTTCCAATCATGATGGCTCCAACTGGGTGCTGTCTTTACACTCTGTAGTGTCCAAGGTCATGTTTCCAGCTAACGAGGGGCCTTGTTTTGGAACAATAACAGGTTATTATTGTTATTATTATTATTACATAGGATTTATATAGCGACAACAGTTTGCGCAGCGCTTTACAATATAGGGAAGACATTATAATCAGAATGCAATTCAAGACAAGATGGTAAGGAGGGCCCTGCCCCTGAGGGCTTACAATCTAAAAGGGAGGGGCAAGTGATGCATGAGGAGGTAGCTGTGTGGGGATGAATTGTTTGAGAACGTGATGGTTGAGGTTAGGTTGAGGTGGGAAAGGCTTCCCTGAAGAGATGAGTGTTTAGGGATTGCCTAAAAGCAGTCAGAGTGGGAGATAGACGGACAGGTGGGGGTAAAGAGTTCCAGAGGATAGGAGAGACTCTAGTGAAGTCCTGGAGGCGAGCATGGGAGGAGTTGACGAGGGAGTCAGAAAGCAGGAAGTCTTTTGAAGAGCGGAGGGGACGGTTAGGATGATACTTTGAGACAAGGTTGGAGATAGCCGGGGGCACAGTTGTGGACGGCTTTGTAAGTGGTTGTTAATTATTCGAAATTTATCCTTTGGGCGAGTGGAAGCCAGTGCAGGGATTGGCAGAGGGGGGGCGGGGTATGGAAGCCAGTGGAGGGATCGTCAGAGGGGGGTTGCAGACACTGAGCGGTTGGGAATGCTTCTAGCAGCTTCATTCATGATAGACTGAAGGGGGGAGGAGCCTGTGTAGTGGAAGGCCAATGAGGAGGGAGATAACAAGCGAGTGGATGAGTAATTTAACAGTTTCATTGGTGAGGAAGAGGTTCAGGATATTTTAAACCAGCTTCCATGACACTCAGGAGCCATTTAAAAGCCCATAGCACCAAGAACACCTTCATTTTACCTTCGCCAAAATTATTTTTTTGCCTGATGAAGGGGATCTTGTGAGACCCCGAAACGTTGCTTTCTGATGCATTGTGCTATGTTTCATGCGTCAATAAACAGACGCCATTGATTCATTACTTGGAGTGCCGGTGTCTTTGTTATCCTGTCTCTAGGGACAAGAACTTAACTTGTGTCTCTTTTTTTTCTCAGAACCTCCTCAGGTTACTCTTGCTCTGATCGAAGAGCCAGTCCCGACCTTGATCTGCCACACTGACCGCTACTATCCTCTGGATGTGGAAGTGGAGTGGCAGCTGAATGGGGCACCGCTGAAACACGCTAACTCGGTCACCTCCAGCCATCGCAGGAACAGCGATGGGACATACAATCTGAACAGCCGGCTCCAGGTCTCTATCCCTCAGTCTGGAGCCCCTCCTGATGTATACTCTTGTGTTGTCTCACACGTGACCGCCGAGGAGCCTATCCAGGTTGACATCACTGTCTCTGCGCCAGGTACCTTCATCATGTCCTTTACCCAAATTTTCTGTCTGCTAGGATGGATATAGATGATACCATATATCTGTATGGGTCAGGTACTTACATGCACTTGTCCTTTAAAGAGACCCTGTCACCGACGTACAAAATTACAGGTCAAAGCACAGAAAAGTTAAGTATTTTTAAATGCTTACTTGCAGTATTTTTCATTCACGTGCAGTGTCCTTCTGAACTTGCTGGCAAATTTGACTGCTTCAGAAGAGTCCCCAGCCCACCCTTCGCTCCTTGTACGTCATAGTCCTCTCCTTTTCTGGGTGTGTCTATTTACTGCCTATGTTGGCCCAGCTCCTTACCTCCCTACATAATCTTTTATATAGCTGCTGGAGAAGATGTGGGGGCAATAATACTAGAGTTACACATGAGTGACAGCTCTGAGTCTACCGACATCACGTCCAAGATGGTGGCACACAGCAGCAGTCTCAGGACATTTGCATGTCTACACATGGATGGCTTTCACAGGTAAAATACTTTAGTTGCACATTTAATCCTATAGGAAGATTGCTGTAGAAAAGAATGGTCTGGTGACAGGGACTCTTTAAAGCGACCTTTTCCTGAATTTTGCCCAAAAAATACCCTGCAAAAGAAAAATATAAATACTTGCCTTTCCTGCTGCCCATGTCACCAACCACTGATCCATTTTGGAGGATGAGTCCACCGACGTCTGCTTAGGAAACAATATTTCCAGGAGTGTCAATCTCCAGAGCCCCCCTCCGGTGCTCCATGGTTCCTTCCAATGACCGCCACATCATTAAGGACACGGTACTGACATGGAGGTCACCAGGAGGAACCACTATGTCTAGGGGAGGGAGTGGAGATCTGCATTCACGGAAGTGTTTCCTGCCGACTTCAGGGGAGCCGTGCATGTTGAATGGAGCGGTATTTGGCAGCTTGGGCAGTGGGAAAGCTTTTGCAGGATATTTTAGGGCACTTTTCATGACAGTCACTATAAAAGAAACCTGTACTATAGAAGCGCAAAGGCTGCCATTGTTGAACTTTCCATCTGAAAATGCGAGTATTCTGTATTCTAATCTTAAAGTGCCACGAAACTCAGGAGTTAAATCTTAAAAATGCATTCCCGTACCTTAGAAGAGAACTATGGGGTCAGGGCTTTTCCCCATAGTTCTTTTAAGGGTCACGGGAGGACCAAAACTAGCGTCCTCCCATGACCCAAAGCTCAGTATATCGCCAGCTACAGTTTGCGGTATACTGAGACCACCGCAGCCGGGGCGGATCCCGACATTACGGTCGAGATTCACCCAGCTGCGTGAGTGACAGCTGGCTCTGCCTATCTAGAGGCAAAGCCAGCTGTACCCGCCCCCTCCCCTGTCCTTTCCTCCAGTCAGCGCCCAGAGGATCGGAGCGGGGAGAGGGGGAATCCCTGCAAGGAGCTGTGACTGACAGTCACCACTCTCTGCAGGGAGACGATCGGGAAGTGAGCGAGCGACGGTATATGTTCGCTCACTTCCCGATCTATTGAGCCGGCGTGTGACAGATTAATTGTCACAGGTCGGCTAGAACTATGAGGAGTGATTTTCACTCACCTCATAGTTCTACTTTAACTATTAGCAACAATGTATCTTATTTGTAACCAAGATTGACATCTCCACATGGATCAGAAAAGCCAGAGGCGCTTTTGCAGGCCTCCGTAACATATGGCAATCGAACCAGATTAGTCTTCGTGCGAAGATTCAAATCTTTAGCTGTAATGTGAAATCTGTGCTGCTTAGTGCGAGTGAGACATGGAGAGTCTCAGTGGAAACCACAGAAAAACTCCAGGTATTTGTAAATCATTGCCTGCGGTACATTATTCATGCCTGGTGGCCACAAAAATATATAATATAAAATTATATAATATAGAGCTTCTTCGGTGGCGTCACCAAAGACTGGTTGCAACAGAGATCCGAGAGTGTAAATGGAGATGGATTGGACAGACCTTATGAAAGGATGCAACTGAAATCTGTAGATAGGGGCATGATTGGAATCCCTGAGAACAGTGCAGGAGTGGCAGACCCACAGGTGCCTGGCGGCAAGGTCTCGTTCACACCTAGGCGTATTGCATATGCGCGTCTATCGCGCGTTTTTTTACCGCGATTCGCGGTAAAAAAGTCGCGCGACAAACGCGCATTTCCGAAGGCTACTTGGCTGTATCCCAATGGAAACGCGCAACAAAACGGCCCAAAGTAGTACATGTACCTTTTCAGGCGTGGGCCGTTTTGTAGCGCGTTAGGGACGGGCGGAAATACGCCAAGGTGGGAACGAGACCATTGAATACAATGGGATTTATATTTTTGAGCGTTTTGTAGAGCGTTCGTCGAGCGTAGAACGCGCTACAAAACGTTCAGGTGTGAACAAGGCTGTTAACCTGAACCTGACCTGGCTGCATGTCATATCAAAGGCTGGGACCCATCAACAATGGAAGTCTTACACTTCGGCCCTGTGCTCCTCAGTGGAGAAGAATATAAAGTGGTAGTAGTAGTATTTGTGTATCACTCGGCTGTAGATCCTCAAATCATCTCTGAATTGGTGCTGACACTGTCCTTCCTTCTGGAGGGGGGGCTACTTTTGTTCTCCATGGTCCCTGTGTGTGTTGTAATGTAGTCACCGCTCCAAGCTCACTCCCGGGATGGACTACAATCTCAATACAAATAGGTAAACTAAATCTGAGATTGTAGTCCATCCCGGGAGTGAGCTTGGAGCTTTGACTACTTTACAACACACACAGGGACCATGGGGAACAGAAGTAGCCCCGCTCCAGAAGGAAGGACAGTGTCAGCACCAATTCAGAGATGATTGGAGGATCTACAGCCGAGTGATACACAAATAAGATACATTTTTGTTAATAGTTAAGGTACCTGAATGTATTTTTAAGATTTTACTCCTGAGTGTAATGTCACTTGAATAAAAAAAAGTCCAATACATCATATTTCCATGCCATAGATTCATATATTATTTTCCTCTTCTGAACAGAACCATCGCTGCTTTTCCAGATCATCTGTTATACTTCTTCACTCGTCTTATTGGCGTTTATGCTCAAAGCCATCCATATGTTTGCACGGACAATTCCTCACGGAATAGACAAGGATAAGAAATTATCTTAACTTTCATTCTGTGCTGAACGGGAGGACAACGCAGAGTTTACAGAAATGTGCTACTGGTGACAATTAGAGATCAAACGCAATGAAAACGAATACACGTGATCAGTTTTGACTTGGGGGACGCTCTTCAAGATGTCAATGAGCTCTTCATTTTTTTTATTTTTTGTAAGTGTTGTACGAACCCAATGTGAGGTAAACTGTTGAAACGGGTGATCATGTTAGGTCCATGTGCTTTCCTTAACCGGAATGCAGCAATGGAGAGAAGAGATGTGAAATTATAATCATGTGATCATTCGGTGACCATCCAGAAATCTCCTGCACACACTGGATAATGTTTACTGTGCTGGAACGGTTTCAGCTGCACAGTATATTTTGTGCCATTACTCAGGCTGCCTTCTGTGTTAATTAGGAATATCTAATAGGCTTGCATTATTTTAAGAAGGCATGCTGATGGAAGACTTGAGGAGGAAGTGGGGAAGTTGCAGTCACAGTTTTGAGCAGGCTTGGGCAAACTCAGTTGATCTGGGTTTGCACCAAGTCCAGGCTCATCAGTATACCGTTGTTGCAGGTATGCTGAGCTGGGAAATTGAGTGCCCATGTCTCAACCAGATACCCTGTGAGAGGGCCATCGCTATAATGAGGCATTTGCCTCAGATGACATAATAACCTGTGACGCTCTGGCCGACATCCCACCGAGCTGACGACACTGGTTGCCAGGAGCCGAGTGGGATGCTCTGTCTGGCGTCCTGCGTAGCTCCTGGCAACCAGTGACATCAGTGAGCTGGGCGGGATGCAGGATAGTGGTACCGGTACCATGCAGCCACCCTAGTAATGTGCGATGCCAACAAACCCCCCCACAGTTACATGCACCGCAAGCACCCCCCCCCCCCGCCTCAGGAGCGGCAAACATTATAGTGATGCCCATATCTATACGAGAAGTTACTGGATGATTCAGCCTGTGCCGTCAACTCCGACTTGAACATATTCTTTTTTGGCGGACTGGTTGTTGAAAATCCCGGGTCCCTCTTGCACTTATTAAGATAAGTTGGGGAGGGTTGACCTGGTGGGTCATTTAACAAACTGTAGGACACAAAGGCCAGGGCGAACAGGGTCAGGATCCAAACACATCTTTTCACAATCCGTCAACAAGGCTATACCCACTGATCTCACTATAGAGTGGGTAAGAAAATGGGGAATCTGCATGGCTTTCCAGAACGCCAAAGGTGGATCTGAGCAGGATTATATGTCTCGATTGGTAAGGAGGCCCGTGGGAGACTGAAAATTATGAACCCGGTACCTCATATTTTCTTAGTGACCGCTTTTCAGTTTATGAATGATATTTTACTGATTTCTGTTGTGCCTAAATACTCTGTACAGCGTTGGTTCTTAACTGGTGGGTCGTGACCCAAAAGTGGATCGCGACCCTGTGTTCAGTGGGTCGCCACATGCCAACCAACTTTTCTAGGTTAGAAACTCCTCAGACTCCCCCTAGTGCAGCACTGTCAGTTCTCGCGCCGAGCAGCCATTCAAAAAATGCTGACCGGCCCTGCATGTCAGCTTGAGGGGGGGTGGGCCATAAGGGAGCTCCATCCAAATGTGCATTGCTTACAGTTCCCACATGTGTCCTGTAGAGGTGCCTGGGCCAGACTAACGTCACATTCTGGCTCCTGGCACCTCTGCAGGGCACGAAACGGACCTGTACAAACAATGCACATATGATGGAGCTCTGTCACAGCACAGCAGCCCACACTGGACCCCAAGCTAAGGATCCACTCCAGTTCTCATGAGGTAGGGAGACTGGGTGGACCTTAAAAAAAGAAAAAACAAGTATACATCTTTCAAGTGAGTATATGTGTGTGTGTGTGAGAGAATATCTGAGTGTGTGAGATTGTGCCTGTGGTTGTGTGTGTGTCTGTCAGTGTTTTTGTCATAAAGATGCAATGTGGACTCTCACGCATAGCTAGTAGGAGATAGTCACATTCAACTGGCCTTGTTCTGTAATGTTGAAGACGTTCCTCAGCTCTAGTATGTGTCAGGAACATATCCCAGAATTACCAGCCTGTTCCTGATGCAGTGATATGTTCCTGACACACACAGAATTGAGGAAGACACTTGGATGAGTGGTGGAAGGTCTTCAACATTACCAAATAGGTCCAACTGAATGTGACTAACTACAACTAGCAATACCATGACCTGGATAAATGAGACCCTTCACAGACATATGCAGGAGCTCACATTTGTGATGCATGTTACTGCTTGTATTATGTGTTTTATGTATTTAATTTATTGTGTTTCTTTTTTCACTGGGAAAACGCCCAGTATAAAGATTTCCCTGGTATTTGATACAGGTGTGTGTTTGCTATCCATTTTAATGGACCTGCTTAAAATCCAACTCCGGGTTCCATCCCCTTCCTTCCCGATGGTCCCCCAGGTTTTATGCTATTTTTCAATACTTTTTTTTCAGATGTCTTCAGGCCACTCACATGACATTTGGGTTCCTCTTCAGATATTCTCACAGCAGTGGGCAGTCCTTAATAGAGCAGAGATTAACGAATTAGCACTTTGCTCATTTTACTGTTAATTGAAGAAAGCTATACAAGTCTATATCCTGCTGTCAACAAACAAGAACCCGTCTGCTCTATGTCCCACTGCTGCACAATGTTGTGTAAATTTAATTCTTCATTTGTGAACTACATGTCCGGCTGTGGACGATTTATGTAATCTTTTCCAGGAGGTTACTACCTTTCTAGAGGGTGTCAAATGCAAGGGATACCCGGAGATCCTTGGTCGCCTCCCTTTGCCACCTCTTTGAGGACTCTATGGTGCACTGTTGCACCAGACTTTGCAGGACATCCACTCCCAGGAGTAGTGCTCATTCCCTACGGTTTGTCAACTGTCTACCTAACTGGGAACTAATGGCTGCTCACATTTTTAGAAAGTGTTTTGTATCACTCAGCAGTCCTAGCAGTTTCCTGAGCTCTTCTGATATCTCTTTTGATTGGGCCTTATTGCACATCATTATAATTCCGTTGTCTAATGCAGGAAACCAACACAGTTTTTATGTCTATATGGCAGGACAGGTCCCACTGCTGAACTGGCTGGGATTTCTGACTCCTTTAGAAGACCTGCTTCCAATTGCTCTTTTATTCTTAAAGCTGACATATATTTGTTTAATGATCTTAATTGTTCAAACCATTGGTTCAATAAAGTTTTTTGCAATCTGAAAAGCTGTATGCGTTTCCGTTTCTTTGGACCTAGCATCTGCTTTGTTTTCATATTAAGCATATGCATGATAAATATTGTGTAATATCATGTGCTTTAGCACGCAACTCTAGGCCTAGAATATTAATCAGCTGAGAGTGCATAGGTGTATGAGCACTGTGTGGCCCGTGTGCTTATGGGTGTATACCCTCAATCCCAGTGCTGGTGCCAGAAGGCCTATTTAAGGACTAGAGCTGTTAAAGATAAAAAAAGATAATTTTTGGATGATCTTCAGTTATTTACCCTGTGGCCGGGGTACCTGAACCTGTTAATCAGTTCCTGACCCTGCTTGTTTCCGGACCACAACTTGTTCATCTTTACCAGCTCCTGACCCAGCTTCTTCATCTAAACCACTTCTTGACCTGGCTTGTTTCCTGACCATTGCTTGTTCACCTTTACCAGTTCCTGACCCAGGTTGTTTCCTGAACAGGGCTTGTTAACTTTTACCAGTTCCTGACCTGACTTGTTTCCTGACCATGGCTTGTTCACCTTTACCAATTCCTGACCTGACTTGTTTCCTGACCAGGCTTGTTTCCTGAACAGGGCTTGTTTATCTTTCCCAGTTCCTGACCAGGCTTGTTTCCTGACCATGGCTTGTTCACCTTCACCAGTTCCTGACCTGATTTGTTTCCTGACCAGGCTTGTTTCCTGACCATTGCTTGTTCACCTTTACCAGTTCCTGACCTGACTTGTTTCCTGACCAGGCTTGTTTCCTGACCATGACTTGTTCACCTTTACTAGTTCCTGACCTGATTTGTTTCCTGACCAGGCTTCTTTCCTGACCACGGCTTGCTCATCTTTACCAGTTCCTGACCTGGCTTGTTTCCTGACCACGGCCTGTTCATCTTGACCAGTTCCTGAACTGGCTGATTTACAGACTATGGTTTGTTACTGTCTACCAGTTGCTGATCCAGCTTGTTTCCTTATTGGGGTTTGCTCCTGTCTACCTGATGTTGACCCGACGTGTCCACCAGTTACTGATCCAGGTTGTCTCCTGACCACGGCTTGTTCTTGTTTACCAGATGCTGACCTGGCTTCTCTCCTGACCATGACTTCCTCCCATCTAACTGATGTTGTCTCCTGAGCATTGCTTGCTCCCCTCCAACTGATGTTGACCTTGCTATAACAAAATAAGCAGCGCTAGGAGTTCAATTAGCTGTATATCATACAGGTGGCAGTGATTTAAACCAAAATAGTGTTTCCTTAACACATTACTTATATTAAATACTGCAAAGTCAATGTGATGAATTTTTAGTGTATCGTGTCAACACATCAATATAAATAAATAAATATTGTGATATAAAATACAAGCTGCTGTATTAAAGACCGCTGGGTCTGAAGATGTTTAAACCAAATTAACAGCGCTAGTAGGTGAATCAAAAACCATATGGTCGTGTTTGTGAACTACAAATCATAAAAAAAAACACATTACTGCAAGTGCCGTTAATCAATAAAAAAAACACGGCACTGTAAGAGTTAATAAACATGTGTGCGATTAGAAGGTGATTTTTAACCAAGTGCTTCTAGGTGTCTCAGTGTGTAAAAATAAAGTGGATCAGTCTATACACATTAAAAAATCCTTCACTTTTTTTACACCTTCATGTGCATTAATAACATTAAGTGACAAGTCATATGCTTGAAAAAATTCAGGTGGGTAAACAAAAATACAAACGAAAATAATTGTGAATGACAATTAATTGTGCTAACAAAAAATATATATAAACAAATAAAGTCTCTGTAGT